AAAGGGCCTCAGATATATAGCGCTTCAGCATTTGTCACGTCTCTTTTGCTTTCCTTGTCCTCTTCTCCTCATACCACCACCTCCCCCCAATTTATGTATAATTGTAAACGAGTTCCACATAGTATAAGTTAAGACTGGGCACCAGAATAGCCCAATAATAGCCCTAAGAAACATGTAATAGGTGCTGGATAGACACCATGAGGCTATTTTGTATCTTGGTCAGTTCTGTACTGTTTTCTACCAAATAGGTGTTGATTACCAGCTATTTGCTGTCGATTCAGGGCCTGAAGAGACAACAGGCATCCACCATCATATTTTTGAGATATCTGTCATGCTAAGTTTCATGATTCATCAGGAGGGTGTACTCTATCTTTGTGAGTTCTCCATCATCATCCTTCATTAAAGGCTCGTTTACAACATATTCTAGTGTAGTTTGAAGGTCCCGAAGAGACGAGAGATTTGTGTGTCCGTGTTCTGGAGATATGTTCCATTTTCTGTTTTGGGGAGCAAGTACCTTAGGTCAGTCAAATTTCCATCGTTTCTTGTGATCTAGGGCTCGTTTAGAACATATTCTAGTGTTGTTTGAAGGTCCTGAAGAGACGAGAGGTTTGCATGTCCGTGTTCTGGAGATATGTCACATTTTCTCTTTTGGGGGGAGTTGAGCTGTATCTCAGTCAGCTTTCCACCATTTTTCTTCACTGAAGGCTCGTTTACATTGTATTTTAGTCATATTTGAAGGAGCTGAAGAGATGACATCCATATGTGCTCCTATTTCTATGCTATCTCACATCCTCCCCTATTTTTTTGCGAATTTTTATTTATTTTCATAATCATTTGGTTTCTATTATAGTTCTATGCTCGAAATATACATTACACTGTGTATCTATCAGGTAGACAGCATCTAATTTACCCAGATTTATAGTCACATCACTTTGAGAATTATGTGCTGGCTTGAGCTGGCTTTGGGTCAGCTAAAAGCCGAGCTGAGCCACTTAAAGAAATTTAGCTGGCTTACATAAGCTGGCTCTCGGCTAGCTGAGCCATGGCAACACTAAGGCCAGCCCTTTTCATTGACCGCTTTTCATTGCTGCTGGTATTTTCATTGGTAGCTTTTCATTGCAGGCCAGCCCTTTTCATTGGCTGCTGTCAGGTGGGTCATCAGGAGAGTGGTCACATGACCAGTTGCCTAAAATGGTTAAAAACAAAAATTGTAGTCCTGCACTGTAGCTTCCTGAATCTGTTTAAATTATGTTGTAAAGTGCTTTCATTGTAGAGATATGAGGTAAAAGATTTTTCTCATCACCAGCTTTTTTTCTTTTTTTTGCATTTTTCTCCATGAAATCAAAACCAAACAAGATGATTTCAACACATTTAGAAAGCCAAGAGAAGAGGCTACAATTATCATATCATGGGAAAATTGTGCCAAAAAGGAAGGTGCATACCTCAAAAGGGAAATTGACATGGATAGCCTGCAAAAGGCTACAAAAAGTCTGACATAGACTATAAGGACCACTGATAGACTACAAAAGACTACAAAAGTTGGACATACCTTACAAAGTTTAAAGTTTACTAATAGACTATACAACTTACTAAAAGGCTACAAAAGACTACGAAATGTCGGAAATAGACTACAAATTTTACTAACATAAGTTTCTAGTGTCCCCTTTGGTCAGACTACAAAATTTTGTAGTGTCCACTTTTTGAGACTACAGAAGTTTCTAGTGTCCCCTTTTTTTAGACTACAAAAGTTTCTATTGTCTGCCATTTGAGACTACAAAAGTTGTAGTGTCCTCTTTTTTTGGACTAGAAAAGTTTGTAGTGTCTGCTATTTGAGACTACAAAAGTTTGTATTGTCTGCTTTTCAAGACTACAAAGGTTGTAGTGTCCGCTTTTTCGAGACTACAAAAGTTGTAGTGTCATCTTTTTTTAGACTACAACAATTTGTAGTGTCCGCTTTTTGAGACTACAAAAGTTTGGAGTGTCTGCTTTCTGAGACTACAAGTTTGTAGTGTCTGCTTTCTAAAATTACAAAAGTTTGCAGTCTGCTTCTCTGACATAAAGTGTTAGTGTCCTGAACTATGTTAAGGTTCATGGGGATATGGTTGAAGGATTGACATATATACATTGTTGCATCATTGGTTTTGGTATCATGCTTAACCTGTCTTTTGCATTAGGACAGTTGTCCTCTCTTTTTAAATCAGAAGCCACCATCCTATCTTTGACCTGGTATTCACATTAGTAGCCACTGTTGTATGTTTGACTATAGTTATTGTTGAAAGTGACTTCTCTGAAAATTATGAATTGTGTGTGATACCTGGCAGCCTATCCAGGCTTTTCATAGCATGATCCCTTGTCACCTTCCAAGCTTTCATCATTCAGTCTTAGCTCATTCAGAAGGACTGATAGGTGAAGGATAAGGGGCAGTTGGGTCATGTCTCTTTCATTGAAGAGTCATGTGAGAAAGACAATCTTGAAATTGGTAAGGCTTTTTCATCATTGACTAATGAATCAGAGTTAAGTATAGTGTGAGAGAGGAGAGTAACTATTAACATGAAAGGATAGAATAGGCTCTACTTATGTCAAAGACAAGTTGAGCATGATACAAAACCACTGATGCAGCAATAGATAGATGGGTGTCAAGCCAACTCAATCCTTCAGCCATATCCCCGTGAACCTTAACATAGTCAAGGACACTACACAGTGTATGTCAGAAAAGCAGACTACAAACTCTACAATGAAAGCACTTTACAACATAATTTAAACAGATTCAGGAAGCTACAGTGCAGGACTACAATTTTTGTTTTTAACCATTTTAGGCAACTGGTCATGTGACCACTCTCCTGATGACCCACCTGACAGCAGCCAATGAAAAGGGCTGGCCTGCAATGAAAAGCTACCAATGAAAATACCAGCAGCAATGAAAAGCAGTCAATGAAAAGAGCTGGCCTGCAATGAAAAGTATCCAATGAAATATCCTGGCCTGCAATGAAAAGCTATCAATGAAAATACCAGCAGCAATGAAAAGTGGTCAATGAGAAAGGGAGGTCTTATCAGTGCCCCCCCTATTCCTGCAGGATTCCGGTCATTCCTGTGGAATTCCTGTGGATTCCAGTGGAATGAAATTTAGCAGTAAGCCCTGCTAAATTTGTCATTCCTGTGTTTTCTCATTCCAGTGGAATCTGATCATTCCGGAATTTACACTGGAATGGTCCCTGGAATGGTCTTCCCTGGAATGGGCAGGAATGGTGTTCCCCGGAGTGGTCAGGAATGGATTATAGTCCAATCTGTTTATTTTATCTATTTGTCAATGTATTATAGTTTATTTATTTTCGATGGATAACAAACAATGTTTGTTTGGCAAAGATGCTCACCAAACACAGTCACTCTCTTCTTCCACCACCACCAGCGTGCTCGTCACTGCCGATAACGCCACGCCATCACTGTCACCCATAGCCACCACCACCCACATCACTTGTGAGGGGTCGATACTAAGGCATTCCCCTCTCTCGTTATATTTCCTATTCAACGATGTTTGTATCCTTCTCTAGCGCAATTCCTCTTCTACAATCTTCAGAGTCACGCAATCACGCTTAGTCATGTTTAGTCACGTTTAGTATAACTACCTTGTAAACAGAAAAGAATATTACTTCTTCTTACACCATATTCTTTTCCTATCTTGTTGCACGAGCATCGTACTCACGACTCGCCTCAAGCCTGTTGAAGATTCGCGTTCGAAGAGATCAAGGTCAGTTCCTATAGAACTAACTTTAGGAGCTCGTGTCTCCTGTGAAAGCTAACGAAGCTTTCTTGTATTTTCCCATTTCTCCGAAGGGACTTGTTCACTCCCTTCTGCGGCTTTCCGAGAAGGTTGAGACATTCGCGCTCGTGGTTATCCAGGGCATAAGCGGACTCTCGCGTGATCAGGCTTCTTCTTTCTCTCTAGATTCAGACCTGCATTTAGGGTCATCACACCATTACTCAACCCTTACGTTCGATGTTCGCCAGACTTACTTGCCGTTGGTAAGAATCCCACTCAGCGACTAAATCCCCTTAGAACAGGGTTGCGCATCACTCGTCTATCACCCATGGCCACCACGACCACCAACATCGACCACGCCGCCCTTCAAAAACAACGCAGCGACGCCATGTCACGAAACAACAAGCACCAGAACCCACGAAAACAACACCCCGCCCACGAAACGATGCCCAGCACCCACGCACACTGCCAGCGGACACGAAACAATGGCCAATGGATGCAAAACCACGCCCGCGGACACGAAAAACGCCCAACGGACAGAAAACAACGACCAACGGACACATACACCACCCGTGGACATGAAACAACACGCAGCAGACACGAACAACACCCCTGCGCCCACAAACAACACCCAGCGCCCACAAAACGACACCCAGCACCCACAGAACGATGCCACGGACGACAACAACAATGGGATGACATGTCCACATCAACAAGGACAACGGACAACAATGGGACGACGTGTCCACGCCAACATGTCTACGTCACCCCAGCACCCACAGAACGATGCTACGGACGACGATGATGATGTGATGACATGTTCACGCCAACGTGTCTACAACCATGTACCCCCCTCCCTCACTCCCCTCCTTCCCCTCCCCATCACCCCTTCCCCTCCCTCCCCTCTCCATCCCCCCCTTCCATAACTCTCCACCCCTTCCTACCCCTTTCCTTCTCCCTGCCCCTTTCCTTCTCCATAGCCTGCTCCCCTTGTCCCCACCCCCTTTCCTTGTACCTCTCCTTCCTCAAATATAGATTGTATATAGTAGTACATAATAAAATATGTTTTATGTCATTTTAAATATAATATAATTTGGTTTATTGACTTCAAATTTATTCTGAGTATTAAGTTGGTTATTAAGTCACATGACTTTAGCTGATCAGGACATGTACTGGTAAATTTACATGAGTTCAGAGGATTCCAGTGTAATTCCACTGTATTCCTCTGGAATGACTGAATTCCTGCAGGAATAGGTGGGGCACTGTAAAGTACTGGTTGAGATGTGTGAGTCACATTGCCTAGTACCTACCTGATAGAGAAAACAAAAACAGAAATCCTATATGCTTGCACTTGCAGGCATGCCACTGGTCTTAAGTCAAAGACAGGATCCAATTAGCATTGCCCATTTGCCATGAAAACTTAACTTTTTCTGGGATCATGAATACTTACAAGAGGCAAATACCTCTGCTAAATTGTAAGATTTTGTTTTCATGTGAAGAAGAAGGTATACAAGTAAGTGGTAAATGATAGCAGGGTGATGAAACAAATTGATAATTTGAAGGATTCAAAAGATATGAAGTAATTCAACCAAACTACCAATTCAACAGGTTCAATTTCTTTCTAAATGGAATCATGTAATAGTGAAAAACATTGACTCCAGTTCACACCATGAACAAAGTTCCTGAAGTCAAGTATAGTTGGATTGTTGCCAATCACATGAGTTGTTCTTGGCCAAAACAAACCAGATTTATTGTGGTCTGGCACCCATAGGAGATAAATATTATTTGGCAGCATAATCCAATTTTCGTGCCAGTGGCAGAATTTTAACAATGGTGCATTGTAGGAATCACAAAAAAAGGTTTGGAGGAAGTCAGACATGATAATGTTCCCATCCTCTGAATGTAGAGGAGTAATCGGCAATACAATGGGGTTGCTTGAAGTAGCAAAAGTGGAGAGTGTGAAGGAATCCATGACATTCTGACCTGTCTGAGCATCCCACACTCTGACTGTGTTATCACAAGATCCAGAGACGATGTGCCTGCTATCAGGGGAAAATGCAACTGAAGCAACCCAACCATGATGGCCTTTGAGAGGATGCATGACACTCTGACCTGTTTGAGCATCCCACACTCTGACTGTCTTGTCACAAGATCCAGAGACAATGTACCTTCCATCAGGAGAAAATGTAACTGAAGTGACCCAAGCATGATGGCCTTTGAGAGGATGCATGACACTCTGGCCTGTTTGAGCATCCCACAATCTGACTGTCTTGTCACAAGATCCAGAGACAATGTGTCTGCCATCAGGAGAAAATGCAACTGATTTAACCCAAAACTCATGGCCTTTCAGAGGATCCATGACCTCCTGACCTGTCTGAGCATCCCACACTCTAACTGTCTTATCATCAGATCCAGAGATAATGTGCCTGCCATCAGGAGAAAATGCAACTGAAGTAACATGATCCTCATGGCCTTTGAGTGGATGCATGACGGTCTGACCTGTCTGAGCATCCCACACTCTGACTGTCTTGTCATCTGATCCAGAGACGATGTGCCTGCCATCAGGAGAAAATGCAACTGATTTGACTGCACCATCATGGTCTGCAATTCTAAGAAAACATCTCTCTGACCAATGTTCCATTTGGCCCATCATCACAGTCATTGTCTTTTGAAATAGTTTGAAAAAATGCAAAGAAATGTTTGAATTTCGTGGAGCAAATGGCAGTGCTGACAAATATATGTGTGGTGCTGCAAGAGTTATTGGTTCCAGAAATTCCATTACAAATCTATTTGCATCTTTTGCAAAGTCTGATAAGCTGGGTTTTAAGGCCTGCATTTTTTTCATGTCAGTATAATAGCAAATTATACATCTATACACTCACTTGGCTCCAACTTGCAGCTGAAAGTAGCAGTTGAGCAGCATGCTCTACTGTCCCCATCATACTTGTAATCTCAAGCCAGTGTAGAAGATGAACCATCAAAAATTTCTCAACAGCAGCCTGTACTTCCAGCTGTAACATTTTATCACAATCCTGCTGCAAATAGCTAGCCCAGAAGTAGCTAGCATGATCTAAGGCTGTAGATTTTATATTCTTAATATGGCCACTCAGCTCTGGTATGTCTTTGTTTACAATATGGGATGTTTTTAGATCAAAGAAATTGAACTTTAGTTTTGCATTCATAAATTTCAAGCAAGACCCAGCAAAGCAAAGACTATAAAACTGAGGATCAACCCACAAGTCTTGAGACCGCTCAGAATCAAGGAGGAAATCTGCCACTGACTCATGGCAAATATGCAAATAACTTGTATTACTGATAGATAAAATTGGGCTGAGTTGACCAATTATTGAATTCAGCAATGCATCTTTCACTTCCAGAAGCTCTGTTAGATCTTTGATGCGAAGTGGATTCTTTGCAATGATTATTGAGCCCAGAACTAGCTTTAAGGCTGTTTTCTCAGGTTTTCTGAGACCTTGCAAAGCAACAGAAATGACCTGATGATACAGGCTATCAACAATATCAATTCCTTCTCCAGAGTCAGCAGAAATGATTACTAGCCTCTCTTCAGGATCACCTCCATTATACAAGATAAAATCTATTGCAGATTTCGCCCAGACAAATAGCCCAGCAGCTTTCCTCACAAGAAAAGATACTTTGGCTGGACCAAGCCACTTTGGAAGCAACCCAGTAGCCTCAGAAAATCTTGCAACAAAGTATTTTTCAAGGTCATCAGAAGTCTGAGGAGAGACTTCATGTCCAGTATTCAGATTATGATGAAAACTGACAGATCCCAGTCTACTCTGAATCTTATGATAATGGCGGCTTGTAATGAGGAGTTTCAAAGATTTAGAGAGGTGAGACCAAGATACCAATGACGGCAAGAGTTTCTCATACAAATCACACTCATCCAGGGCATCAACAACAATAAGAAGAGGCTTTTCAGAGGTCCCAAAAAACTGCTGTAAAGGCTTGGCAATAAGATGCTCATATTGCATAGAAATATCAAGACCTCTGATAGTAGCTTTCTGAGTCTCCAATGCCTGAGCAATAGACTTTCTGAGATCTTTGGACCATAGAGAAAGGTCCAAAGCAATACGTCTCCATAAGTTGTCTGGATCCCGAAGCTCAGCCTCATCACGACAGAAGAAGAATTGCCCAGAGAAACAGTGAAAATCAGCAACCACAGTCGAAGCAATTGTTGTCTTTCCAGAGCCAGGACAGCCAGAAAGCCAGAAAATATTAGGCTCATTCAGATCATAAAGCCATGTTTTGATGCAAGTGAGCACATCCTTCTGGGTTCCAGGCATGCATCTCTCTCTTACTTTGCCATGTGATGGAGCATTGAGCTCTTTGAGCCACATTTTTACCTGGATTATTTATTGATGATATAAGGTAGTGATACACATTACCCATTTTATGTGACTTACATTTGACTGTTCTACTATGTCCTCTATCTTGGCTTCAAGGTCTCTGTTATTGAGATTGATCTATAGGATGCCAAATGGTCTTGAGAAGAGGTAAATTAAATAAGGCAATTACTCACAGTATTTGCAGAATAGAAAACACTATCATTGATTTGTAAATCATGTGCCTGGGTAAGCACATTTACCTGAGGTACTGTATAGAAAAAATAAAAAGTTATCAAGAAGTAGTTTCAGAGAGCAAGTTTGTGCATACCACCTCCTGCAGTTGTTGGCCTCTCACCAACATTTCTTCTCCCCATGAACATATCATCTTTGTTGGGCTCAGTCATTATAGAATCTTCCCAAGTATCCCCCTTGTTATCTGTACAAGTTGAGAAATAATACCAAAATTAGTTATTTATGACTTGACTTACTTTCTTCCTGTGAACTTTTCTCAACAATGAAATGGGCCTGAAATTCGGGTGAATGAGATGACAGAGAACAGTTAATATATGTAAAACATGCTCACAAGTGCATTTAGTTCAACCTGTAATTTTGCGATACGTTTTTGATCATTCTGAAAATTGGGAAATCTGTTCTGTTGTTGGATCTTCATCACATCTTCTTTCAAATGGTCCAAAAAGCTAGTGCATGACTTCAATCCAAGAGTATCCACAATCACACCATTAAAAACACACACACCCTTTCAAATTCTCAAAATTGGATTGCAAAGTTGACAGGACCTGACTTTCATTGTATTGACAAGCAGCCTGAACAATCTTATCAATCTTCTCAGCAAGACTCTCAGAGAAAGAAGCCCAATCTTTCTTGTTGGTATTGAATTTCTAATGTCGTCACATAGAAAGACATGACAGAATGATTGAAGTAAGGACACACACCTTGACAATTCCGATGATGGCTAATGCCTCAACAACAGCCACCTTCAGTGGTGGAAACGCGTTGCCAGACGCAGCGACAACCTCGAGTGCAGGAACGCCGCCTCCGCTGATCGCTTGTAGAAGGTCGTTTGCCGTGCGATTCAACCCAGTATTCATATTGTTGTTGTTGTTAGTGTCGTTGGTACCGATGGTCGCATTCGGGTTCATGATGATGGTGGTTGATAACAGGAATGGTGAGCATCAATTTTTTACATGTATTCATGTGACTCGACTAGGGACTAACAACACTTATACTGCCACAGGTTTAGCTCGCTCTGATGTCCTGACCCTATCTTACTATTAACGACCAGTTTGTCCCCCAAAGCACGCAGATGCAATGCAATCCTCCGTGTACCCAAATCTGGCCAGCGGTCACTGCTTGGCGCCACTGCACAACGATTAGGATGCGGCAACAGGGAAAGAAGGGTCTTGGGTGACGTGCAGCGTCTGAAAGGATATTGGCGACCCATTGTATATCGTCTGTCGGTCATCATGTTAGAGGGAGTCAAACGTCTATGGTTGAATATTGTCGAAATGGGGAGAGATGATAGTTGTGCTGAACGATGTCGTGAGACAACCGTGTTCGATCTTGCCTTTTGACCGAGCACACACCTTCCAAGGACCAAGATGAAAACGACATTAGTACTACATACAACATTAAAATACAATAACAATGCTAATCCACAAAATGTCCATTCGATCCATCAGTATCCATGGCCGTTGCCTGACATATCATCCCAAGAATAATCCTGTAAACGTTCATAGCCTAGCACCTTTCCCAGATGATAACCCAGGAATGCAGCGTATAATCGCCTGCTGGCACGGCCAACGTGCATCGTCGTTCTGCCTTGAACACCGAAGTACGATTTCCCAGAGCTTCCAATGAAAGTATGTCCGCCCTTTCATATCTTCCACGAAGCCTGTCTGCATAAATCAATCATCGGAGGAAAAGCGAATGATAAAAAGATCAACTCACTTCCAGCTCACTCGTAGAACCCGTCTTCGAATCACCAACCCACCGATACGTCAGGTCTAACCTCTCGAGACTAGGAAGTTTGTCCGCCAGCAAATCCAAGAGTTTGGCACTAAGCACATGAACCTCCAAAACCAACTTTCTAGGAGCCGATCCACCACCCTTCGCATTTGTTGAAAATGGGCCCAACAACAACGCCAGGTCATCAAGCGCAATAACGCAGCCAATGATGGTCAACGTCGCTAGGCTACTCACGATATCCCCAAACCGCTGCGTAGCGAGCATCACCCTCTTTCCCCCGCTCCCTAGGATATTCAAGCCTAAATCCAGGTGTTGTAGATTGTGCAACTGTATTCCGCCCCCAAAGCACTGATCCATCCACTCGCTGGTGGTAATGGTATCAGGTGGCAGCGCGGATTGGTGACAGCAATATTGTGGTGAGAAGTGCACGTGCTGTAAAGTCTTAAAATGTGCTTTGAGGAACTGGTGGAACCCTGTTGGGTCAACAAGGTGCTTTGGGTCGCAAGGGACGAGTAGGGCGAGATGGTGGAGGCGGGGGAAGTATGTGAGGTTTGTGTACAATATTGAGAAATCCATGTGGCCGATGGAGGAGATGGACAGAGACTGTAATGTCAATGCCACATGGTTGATAAAAGTACTCATCTTCTCCAACGCGTATCGTGCTTCCCAGGGCCCAAAGCGTAGGTCGCCGCATGTAAAGTTCAGTGAAAGCTCTTGCAGCTTATCGAGCCCCGTTACCTCGAAGATGGAGTCGCTCATTTGGCCAATGGTCATGTGCAGGGTTACGGAAGTGAGGTCGCGGATGAGTGTGGGCCCGCAGACGGCTGTCAAGAGTGGGACGCAAAAGTGTCGTTCGGCTTCGAGACCGCGTTTCCAATCGACGATGTATTCTTTGATAGAGGTCAGTTTGGAGAGGGCAGACAGGAGACGATCGGCAAGCCAGACGTCTTCTTCGATTGGGTGATTTTGTGAGCGACGTCTGAGGGAGGCATCGTCAAGAGGGTGACGACTCAGAGAGTGAAAGGCTCACTGGAAGACATCGGGCCAGTTAGGATGTTTCGCTGGCCTAATCATATTTTTCTCACCACCTTTTGCAGAGCGTATACAGGCTGATCGGACGGCTTTGGGGTGGATACATAACGACTTCACCCGTGCCGCGACCATGGGGTCGTTCCTTCGAATTGCATTCGATATAAATTTGACTTGAAGGGAAAATAAAACTCACTCGATCCGTGTAATTTTATTGACGAGTGCAGCGGGACGGTCATCGTCAATGATGAGTTGTCGATATCTCCTGTCGGTGACGAGATCAAAGAAGAGGTGGTTGACGCTGATAAGGCGGAACAAGTCGTTGTCTGACACAAAGTGGGTGATGCGCAACCAGAGTTCGGTGGGGAGATCGACAGCCATGGCCAAGCGTATGGCTCTGCGGTATAAGTTGTAGTCAGAGCCTTCTCCTGTTACATAAAGGCCAAGTACCACCGGCCACCCCTAATAGACTGGGGTAATAGCTGGTAATAGAGGTGTAGTTTGGTGCAGCAAACAAGAGAGAGGCTTGCCACTAATTGTCGCCCTGGCAGCGGATATTCGGCGTCTATTATCTGCGTCTATTCATCAGAAAGATTTTCCACGTTCACCTTGCAAGAAAGATGGCATCAGCCGAATTATGAAAAGAAACACACCTCTTCTGCTTCCAAAGTTCCTTTTAGAGAGGACAAACAAGGTCAACGGCCATCATAAAATCTTGGAGCGAAAATATTCCAAGATTACCCTTTGATTTCTCCGACTACAACAATGACCGACCTCACCGTCCTCGTCTCTCCAATGCCCTTGTATCCGGTGACCAAGAACTTCGTCTTTGGACGAAGCAAAAGCCCAGCTTTGCCTCGCCCGATCATGGTCACTCTCGAAACGGAAGCCGACCCAGATGACAACTCTCAAAACCAGGCCGGAATCGAATCCACCTCTTCCTCTCATCCACATTCAGATCCACCTCCTAGAAGGAGTCGTCGTCGTTTCTCAGGAGATACAAACCCAGCTTTGCTTTCACCTCCCGTAAACACTTGGAAGTCACCTAGTACGCGTCCGAGGCATCGACCGACCCGTTCTCAGAGTGCACCTCCGGAAAGGAGAACATTCCCAGAACCCCGTTCGGAGAACAGGGACAGCCTCCCTACTGGTACAACCTTGCAGTTGCAACGTCCACATCCGACACGCACTACTTCATTCGCTGCTGGGAAGGCACCTGGAGAGCTTGTTCGGCCACCACCTCCGTTGTGTGAGTTTGGGCTCTATGACTTAGTTTTAATTTGCGGTGCTAATACCTCCTTTTGTGACCAGTGCGACCAACTACCTTCTGGCGCAAAACCCGTCGGTCAGGAGTGACAGGCGCATCGTACTCTCCATCTTCCCACTTAATTCGACGCTCAACGTACATCGCGGCCGGACTCACCTTTGACGCTCCTGTACACGATCTCAGCGCGCTTTGTGTTGAAAGCAGAGTCGGATTCATCGTTGTCCCTGCTCCCGATTTCCAGCTACTATAATCTATTATTATTTATATCCCCTAGAACCCTCGACCATGCTTCAACACCTTATTATGCAAGTGTATGTCTTGATAATGACTCTCACGATATTCGGGTCGCCCGCTGACGGCCATGCAACTGTTGTGCGAAGGCAGGCGCAGATACCCGCAACGGCGCCCGTTGTTATACCCATGCCAACTACAACGTCGAGCTTCGACTACTGGTGGCCATACCCACCTGCAGGTGCATCAATGACAACGGTTCCTTCAGCGCAATCTACCGTCGTACAACTGTCCTCGTCTTTGAGTGCTACGATACCTACCTCTGTCACTGGATCCATCTCAAGCGCGTCGTCTTTGTCCTCCCTTCAACCTTCCTCATCTTCCAATACCGCCGCGTCTTCTAATGCCCTCCCAACAACCCAAACTGCCCTCCACCCCGTCCACCCCAAATTTAAGCTCTACTACCTCTACCCCGTCTTCGGTGTCGTCGGTATCCTCATCATTGCCTTAGCCGCGTGGATAATATATGGATGTTGTACTCGGAAACCCCGGACTCGGGATCATTCGGACGCCAACTCCATTCTTGGCGGACCACGGTACGTTGCTGTGGATGAAAAGGTATTGAGGGACGTGGAAGCTGGGGACGAGGACGCAATGCAAGAACACCAGCGCAGGCTTGAGCTCAGAAATAACGAAGATGGACAGTTCAGGTGGCCTTCCTATGATTTGACTGATTATTGGAACGGACATCGACGCGAAAAAACTCCATTCCTTCGTCCTCCTCTGCCCACTGCTAAAAGTAGCTCGGACCGAACTGCTAAATCTGGTCGGACCAACAAGTCTACACACACCTCGCGGTCTACACGAACTACAACATCTACACGTCCAGGTTCCAAGAAAACTCAAACTCGTGCGCGGAATGGCGTTCTCTCTCCCAAGTCTGACTCTACTTCTCTCGCCTGCCTTGAGCTCTACTCCAGCGATGAAGAAGCAGAAGTAAAGGCACAACAAGTTCCATGGGAGAGTTTGCGACATAAGAGCATCAAGCGTGGGATTCTGGAGCAGGTGCGCAAGGATGGGAGTTGGAGGGACTCTGTGAGAGCTGTTGCCGGCTCTGCGTTTGCCGATAAAGTGCGAGCAGGGTTAGGTGGAGGCGTGGGGAATGTAGAGAGGCCGAATGCCGCGACTAGACGGTCCACAGGGGACGTAAGCACATATCCAACTTCGGAGGCCACTGGAGGGGCATCAACCACGAGGGGTAATTCCACCCGTACGACGACGACGTATGATGAGGGCGAGGGACGCTGGCTTAAGGGCCCCGGATTCAGAATGATCACCGAGTCCCCGGCCCCCAACCCGCCTGCTTTGCTTAATGCCTTTGGTTACGGCCAAGATGACGTTATTTCTGAAGATGATGAGGAGTGCGACGACGAGAATGATAGATTCACGCCTATGCCCACTCGGCTTGGTTCAAGTCGGAGTCGAAGCAACAGTAAATCCAGTAGCCCTGTCAAGTCCAAGCCTATACCCAACAAACCCACTACTACCACGATCGTCAGGGCTAATTTGGGTGGTACGACGCCCAGCGTTGGAAGGCAGTTCGTTCATCCTAGAGATGTTCTTCCCAAGAGCCCACCGCAGATTATGAGCCCGCCTTTGGAGAGCCAGCTTTGCTTCACGCCTACGGCTGCTGCTACTGCGAGGATGCACCAGAACATCTTGGCGCCGACGAGAACGAGGACGATCCCCAAGCCGCCAAAACCGAGCAATGGGGGTACTAAGCTTCGTTCATCACAACCGTCCTCGTTACCGATGCCTGAGGGTTATACGGTTAAGACACTTGTCAAGAAGCCTCCTCCGGTCGAGGTGGAAAAAGAGCCGGCTCCTGATTCTGGGGAGATGGCTTCGAAGGAAACGATGGAAGAAGCTATGAGGACTGTTGAGAAGATCGTAGAGGCGAGTTGGAGTGCGAGGGATCTAGGGAGGCAGGTGGCGGGGAGCTTGAGTCCGAATGGAGTTGGGAGTCGTGCTTGATATGATGCATAGATGGACTTGGGTTACGAGTTATCTTGCTCTTTGCTTAGCTTACATGGTCGTATATTGTTCTGCTCTCTTCGAATCATAGTAATGTTTTTTGATGGCTGTCTGTGGACAAACTTATTCAATCATTGACAGTTCGCAGTGGGCTAGGGCGAGGCTAGCTTGAGGCTAGTGTGGTTTCTAGTACTATATACTCATCTTTTAAAAAGAATCAAAGGACTCGGTAACATATAATTGTAAATAACGAACTTCACCTTGACTTCACCCGACTCTTGTTTTTACTCAATTTTTACTACTGAGTGTATGGCGGGAACATCCAGCAAAATGCTTGGTCCTATGGCGTTTATTCTGCACAAAAAATACGCGCCCCCCCCAAATTGTATGCTGTTGAAATCAAATCAGCAAGCGTCAATTCTTCGTGATCAAGAGAAACAGGGGAGTAAGATTTCCGGTTGTCTCTGGAGGTGACAGAGGCAAACGGATGAGTAACTACGATACAAGCTCTCCTATATATACTGTAGAGTATGAAATAAATGGGAATACAGATGAAATGCCCGGAAAAACAATAAATGTACCTTAATCCGGGTATCGGGCGCATTGCACATGCTCGCACA